GAGTACGCGCAGGTGCGCGCCTAGCGCCATCGCGGGGCCAGCCCGTCCCACCCAGCCGCTGCCAAACCCGGCACATTGGCCACCTTCCAGGGACTACCTTCGAGAAGCTGCATCTCAGGTCGGAGGGCGGAAAGATGTTGGATAAAAGGACCTTCGGGCCTTTCTCACTTTAACAGGCTGAAGTGCTGCAGCAACAGGACCTAGGGCAGGCAATCTGCAGACCTTAGACTTTTGGCCTTACTGAATTTGGCTGATGCCTCCAGAGCAGATATTTTGGCCTCACCTCAACCCCTCTTTTAAGTGAGGAACCTGTGGCACAAAGAGTGATGTGTCTCCCAGACACAGAGACCTCGAGTCATCATGGTGCCATCACTGGAGAGCCAGTTGTGCTGCTGGGGAGCATGAACCACAGGGAGAAACACAGGAGGCAACCCTGTCATGCGTATATATATATATTTTACTGGGAGTCCAACCTAGGGGTGTTCTGCCATTGTGCTACGTCCCCATCCCCCTTTTTATTTTGAGATAGTCTGAGTTGCCCAGGTAGTATTTGAACTTGCAGACCTCCTGCCTCACCCTCCCAAGATGCTAGGTTCACAGGCCCTGTGCCCACCTTTGAATAATCTTATAATAAATTGTTCCAAAATTATATATATTTTACTGGGAGTCCAACCTAGGGGTGTTCTGCCATTGTGCTACGTCCCCATCCCCCTTTTTATTTTGAGATAGTCTGAGTTGCCCAGGTAGTATTTGAACTTGCAGACCTCCTGCCTCACCCTCCCAAGATGCTAGGTTCACAGGCCCTGTGCCCACCTTTGAATAATCTTATAATAAATTGTTCCAAAATTGTCATATGGCCTTTTTTTGGTAGAGAGTCGATGACTGCAAAAATGGTATTTCCTGGCCTCAAGCTGGTAGGGCAAAGTCTGGCCACCTTGCCATATCTGTAAGGTCAGTTCCTTCATCCATGCATGCCCTCTACACTCATTTTCCTACCAGGAAAAACACAGGCTCTCAGTATAAGCTAATCAGCCTCTCCAGGAAGCCCCAGATAATTTGCCTGAAACTGAGGCTCTGAGGGAATGGGATGTCATTGAGTCTTAAATCCTCTGTGTAGTATTCACACTAGCCTTGTATTTTTAGCAGTTTCCATTGTTCCCAAGTATGGTGGCCATTCCAGCTATTTACCTGGCACAAATATGATGGTTTTTACAATCTGGTAATTTTTATAAGTTCACATATTGATAATGTGCTACAGGAGGAATCATTCCTTCAAAAGTAGTTTGAAGTTCCTCAGTGACTTCTACCTAAACTAGGTGAGCAACACCCAGGCCTTTTGGAGTCTGGATGAGAAACAAAATAGACAAGTTGTACCCAAGAACAACTCTTTGTTTGCAAGCTGTGAGCTGGCACATGCCTTCCTCTCATGGGATAATGCTTGTTCTCCACCTTACCCTGAAACATTCACTAACTCTAACAACCCCATGGCCTCAAGAACCTGACCTCCAGCCAGTGAGATCTGGATGTGAACCTGGCCCTCGTCTACCTATATGATATGAACCAGCTCCTTAGTTGTGCTGAGCCTGTTTTCTCACATGTAAAATGGGGACACCAGTGGTCCTTTTTGCCATGATGCTCCAGCTCACACCTTGCCCTCTCCTCTACTTGCTCCCTTTGCTGCAAATTCTTGGGGTACAAGGGATTCACCAGAGAACAGTGGTTTCCTGTTTTGTAGGGGAATAATGGCATAATCAGGAGTGCCCACGCCTCCAGCTCGGGGCAGCTGTGTGCTGCGAAGGAGACCTTCCTGAGGAAGGAAAGGAGTTCAAGGAAGCTCAGGGTGGAGCAGGGTAGGCAGTCTCTACAGAATGGCTCCCTTCTGTGGAGCTCACGGGCCTAAGGAAGGGGCAGGGGTTCTAGGGGACTCAGGCAAAACTGAAAGGAAGAAAAAGCTCCCTTTGCATCCACATCCGTAGTCTCCATCATTGCTTCCAGCACCTGTCCTGGCCCATAGGGATAAGGGTGCTCACACACACACACACACACACACACACACAGGGATAAGGGTGCTCACACACACACACACACACACACCTCCCCCCAGGGAACACTAATTGTTATGGTTTATATCTAGATGTCTCCCCAAAGCCTCATGGGCTCAGACATGGGGCTTTTCGGAGCTTGCTGGATCTAGGCCCTAGATTCTAAGGTGTGTGACACTGGGATTAAGGCCATGTAGTACTAAATTACTACACTAATTAGAATTAGCACAGCTTTGGGTATGACTGAACAGATTTACCAAAGACAGAAACCCCAGCCTGGGTGTGGGTGACTCCACCCAAAAAGCTTGTAACCTCGATGGAATAAAAGGGAAAGGTAGGCTCGCTGCTTCCTGCCTCCCACACCATGGACTGTTTCTCCTCTACAGTGTCTCTCTGCCATGCCATCCTGCCTTGGAGCTAGTCAACTATGGGCTGAAACCTCTACAGACTGAGCGGAAATAAACCTTTCCTCCTTTACTTTGTGAGTGTTGGGTATTTTGTCCCATTAATGAGAAAAGTAAGGCACCGACCATAAAGAACATGAATCCACTATGGCTAAGTCAAATAATAGCAATTAGCAATAACATGTACATTTTGGAGGGTACTTACTATGTGCCGGACACAGTTTTGAACCTTAGATTTGTATTCACATAATCTTCATAAAATGATTACTATTATTTGCCCCATTTTACATAAGAGGAAATCAAGCACAGAGTGGGTACCTCAAAGTCCTATCATTAGTAACATAATTTCATGAATGCCAGAACAGGAAATTGAACATGGCCAGCGAATGAAGATAGGGAGTTGGGAATGGATGTTTCCACTAGCTTTTAGTCTCCTCTGTCCATTTCTTTTTGTCCCTGCCTCTTATTCTGCATGCGTCTGACACCACAGCCACTCCGATTCACCATCTCTTAGCTGCCTTGCTCCTGATTCATGGAGCAGAGAACCTGACTAGAGAGGGGTAGCTTCATCCAGTGGTGTACTAGTAAATGTTTAGCAACCAACTCTTCAAAGAAAATCCCTGATTTTTAGTGTGTGCCATCATGGCAGATGACGAACTACCAACAGTCACTGTTGGTGAGTGGGAAAGAGGCGAATGTGCACAATCTGCTCTCATGAGCTGGGACAGCCTCTGCACACCACTGGCTGGAGTCACTGGGTCAGACATCCATCTCTGACAATTCAGGTAGGGCTGGGCTGGGATCATGTGACACCAATATGCCTCCCAGAGCCCCTCTTCCTGGCACATCAGGCCATGGGAGATCAATTTACAGAAAGACCCTGTGTCATTACTGAAAACATGCTGGTTCTGGGCTACCCCACATCCATTCTCCTTTCTGATGGGAGCACACTTTTGGGAGATGTTCATCAGATAGGGGCTTCACTCTGCTCCAGTACAGCATAGGCCTCAAGTCCAAGCCAAACCAGCAAAACACACCTTACCCAACTCAGAACTAGGGAGAGCCAAGGAGACTTCTGCTGGGCTTCTGGCAGGACAGAGGATGGCTGCTGGAAACCCAGAACCTGTGAGGCTGCAGTTGATCCCACAGGAGCCCAAGGGTGTCTCTGACTCAGAATGGAGCCAGTAGATTCTCATTTGAGTTGGACTTCCTGACGCTTGCAGAGAAGCCTGGACAGAGGATTGTGAGGGCTCTGAGGAATGCATTCCCTATGATGACCCCATAGTGTCTCACTGTGGGGTCACTTGTCTCCCAAGATGCCCCCACAGGGACAGCCCTGATAAATCCAGGGGGATCAATCTCTGCATTACCCTCCTAGACAATCAGTGGTGACTCCCCCTTCAAGGGGATAAATATATGTGAAGGGGACCTCTTGGTCCTGTCCCCGGCCCCAAACACTAGAAGAGCTGCTACAAACCAGGCACTCGTGATGGAGCCCTAGAGGGCGCTCCTTGGGAAGTGGGGAAAGTGAAACGGATCGACGAAGCCGTTTATCGGAGCTACACAAACCTGTAAACATGGGTCCCGGCCACTCAGCTGCAGCACGATCCTCGGCACACATCACTCGGCTCCGCACCTGGGGTGAGGCCGGCCCACGGCAAGCAGCCATCTCCTTCTTTCCCAAGTCTGAGATGAGGAGGAGAGACGCTGTGGGCAGGCAGCCCGGCCCCACTCCCGCACACAGCACAGCACAGCACAGCACACGCCGCTGCCACCCGGGTGCAGGTACAGTTTATTCTTCACAACAGAGAAATACAAAGAGCAGAGGGGTTGTAATTTGTTTCTTGCCCCTTTAGTGTTCCTCCCCCACATCTGATTTTTACTTTGCTCCCCACCTATTTTTCTTAATAGAATGCAAACTTCTTTCCTGAAGTGTTGGAGCGGCACCTGCCCTTGCCTCCCTGCCACCAAGATGCAGACTGAGAAGCCAACAGACTGTTTTCTCTTTTTTAATAAGGTAACTAGTTCTAAATATGGTGGCCTGGAGGTCCCATAGAAAAAAGCAAAGGGGTGTTAACAGTATGTATAACAGCGTATTTACAGGGTAGTAACATGCGGACGAAAAGCTACAATACTGAGTATCAGACAAGTCAAACAAAGGGGTGGGTGTGGGGCAGAGAACCCCGTGGGAATAGAAACCCCAGGAAAGTTAAACTGGTAAATCAATGGCGAGTTAAGGCTTAAAAAGTGTATAAAAATAACAGTTAATATTCAAAACGGAACTCCAGATACAGAATATATAGATGAGTTTCTGCCTAGTTTTTTTTTCCCCGGGGGGATGTGGAGGGGCTTTTCCGGGCTCTGTACATGGTTCCTATATACACGGACACGCATGGCTTTCAGATTGGGGATGTCTGTGGGGGCCATCTGGGGGCAGGGTCTGCTCCTGGGAACCTCCTCCTGGAGGATCCCTTCCCTGCTGAGGGGCCTGGTGCCTGGGTTGGGGATTCCCCTTCCATGGCAGGGAAGACAAATAACCCCTCCCTGGGCACTGTCCCCATCTGGAGAAAACTCTGGAAGGGGCCTCTAGTCCTAGGCCCATCCTCCCCATCCCCCTGCCCACAGTCTGGGGTGGCGGAGAGGTAGCCGATAGGTTTCCTGGCCAGCACCGAGGTAGACTGGGGTGGTCGTCAGCATCGTGGGGGAGGGACCAGGTCTTACCCAGCCCTCCCCTCTCCCATTTTCCTGGGCCCGCTGTCCAGCCTGCCACTGCACCCTTTTGGTCCTGCAGATCTCCCGGCCCCTCTTGTTGCTGCCTCCTGAAGCCTGGACAGCCCTGATAGCTGCCACATCCTCTGCTCAGTGAAGCCCAGGGCACAGCTCAGACGGTATAAGCTGGTCACCCAGGGCTGAAGGGCTCACTTCAGCTGCCTCCTGCCCCCTCCCTCCTGAGGGTCCCCTTTACTGTCCAGAACCCCATGCCTGAGCTTTCCCTCAGGACCCGAGGCCAGGGCCAGAGAAGGTCCCACACTGCCCTCTGGTTCTCTGCATCCATCTGTCCTGCCCCAATAAATATCTTTTTTTTTGTTATTTCCAAAACAAACTTAAAAAACAAAAAACAGTGAAGCAAGTGAAGGGTGGGGAACAAAAAGAAAACCCAACAGACAGGTTCAAAGTGCTCTGAGATCGTCTTTGGATGCCACCAAAACAGTCCAGAATCTTGTAGTTGGCCTGGCTGCCCCAGGAGTTGAACCAAGCAGGGCTTTCTGCGGACCAAGTTTTTTTTGTTATTTCCAAAACAAACTTAAAAAACAAAAAACAGTGAAGCAAGTGAAGGGTGGGGAACAAAAAGAAAACCCAACAGACAGGTTCAAAGTGCTCTGAGATCGTCTTTGGATGCCACCAAAACAGTCCAGAATCTTGTAGTTGGCCTGGCTGCCCCAGGAGTTGAACCAAGCAGGGCTTTCTGCGGACCAAGCTTCCTGGCAGGTTGGGAAAGTCATGAGAGAGCTCAGCGGTTCCTGGAGGGCCCCAGTAGGAGTCGGGGCCTGGTGCTGCCCGGGTCTGGGTCTGCCAGTGGCCAGGCGGGGCGGCGCCTCAGGTGGGCTCAGATGAGGGAGATTCGCACCGGGATGCCGGGAGACTCGGTCCTCTGGGGTGAGTGATGGCTCACCAGGTGCTCCACCACCGTGTGTTTGGACATGTGCTTCATCAGGTAGGTCTCCTGTGGGAGGGGAGATGCAGAACATGGCACCGCTGCGCAGGCAGCAGGGAGGCTGCAGTTCCCACAAGCAGCCACTGGAGGTGGAGGACCCTCTGCATCAGTTCTAAGGGTGCTGCGCAGCCATCACAGTTGAACTCTGGCTGCCTCGCCAAGTCTGATCCTGCAGGCTGCTGGCTGGGGCACTGACCAGGGTACTACCTTGGCACTCAGCAGCACCCACCTGCAACTCTCCAGGGCTGGGCCAGCAACCTTTCACAAACTGGCTGTGAGGGATGTACCGGCTGGACCTCAGCCCTGCATGCCCAATACGGCACAGAACCTACATCTGGCTGGTGTTCAGGGACGGGGCCGCAGTGAGCCTGGGCTTGAGACTAGTTCTGCCATTTCTCAGCAGCAGGACCTACCTTGGACAAGTCCTCTTATCCCTCCACGATTCAGTTTCCTCCTCTGTGAGCGGGGATGAGGAAGGACTGCTGTGGTGATGCGCCCTGAGTGAAGAGGACCACTGCTTTCCCCGTTTCAACGTTTCACTGCAGGTTAGGTGGAGGTTTGGCCTCCGCACTCTTCATTCAAACCTTCCAGGGCTGAAACCGGCCTGAACCCCCCACTGGCTCTGCTAAGTCTATCCCACGGCAGCACAGCTGGGCGGCTGAGTGACCCTGATCGCTGCAGGTCCACTGGCTTCCACTAAGCCATGTCCTCCATGTCTCCAGGTACAAGGTGGCACTCTGGATTCCCAGCTACCATACCTCAAGACGCTGCAGCACTCAAACGTGGCAAGGGGCTACTGCACGATACCGGAAAAAGGGTAATTCACAACATCCAAGCTAGGGTACTATTCTTCAGTGAAGGGTTGAGATTAAAAGCTACATCAACAATGTAGTAATCTTAGGCTCTTGATTTAAAAATAATACTGGAAGTAAAACAATAGCATCCAAGGGAAAAACAAAAATGTCAATGCTTACTGGGTGTTTGATAATGGTAAGGACTTTGGTTATTTAAGGTATTATAAAGGTACTGTGGCCATGTTCATAAAAAGAAGTCCTTATCTTTACAAAAGTCAAGTCAAGTGTTTTTGTTTTGCTTTCTGTTTATTTTTGTGGTACCAGGGATTAAACCCCGGGCCTTCACTGAGCTACATTCCCAGCCCCTAATTATGTGTTTTGAGACAGGGTCTCTTTAAGTCACTAAATTGCCCAAGCTGGGCTAGAACTTACAATCCTCCTGGCCTCAGCCTCCCAGAGTGCTGGGATTATACTCGTTTACAGTGAAGTTTTTACAAGTGAAATGATAAGATATCTGGGTTTCAAAAAGCAGGTATGAAGTCCAGCATGTGGTACACACCTGTAATCCCAGAATTCTTAGAGGCTGAGGCCAGAGGAACACAAGTTTGACCTTGAGCTACAAGTTCAAGGCCAGTTTGGGCTACAAGATAATACCTTGTTTCAAAAAAAAGGAGGTTAAAAGAGGCAAGATTAGTTGATGGTGAGAGGGCATTAAAAGCCTAGAGGGACTCCCCCACTCTGTGGTCCTTGTCCTGCAGGTTCTGTCCTCACTGTCCATCTCTGAGCTCTCCTCTGCCCCTCTGACTCCAGGGAAGGATAAATGTCACACACTCAGCCCTTAGCAAGCAGCATCCCTGGCTGGCACTGCCAATGACCCCACAACAGTCCCTGTGCCCCTGCACTGCAGACAGACCTTCCAGGAACACCCTTCCCAGGTCCCCTTCTCAGGCTTCCCATTCCATGTGAAAGAGCACCCAGACTCTTACAGGGTCCTGAAGCCTGTGTGACCTAATTTTCTCTCAGTCCTACTATGCACCCCACTTGTTCCACCCAGGGAGCTTATACTTGCTACGCCCTGCATGGAAAGTTCTTGCCTCCCCTTGCACCATCATCCTTCAAGGCTTCACTGAAATGTCCCGCTACGGTTTAGCCCTGGGATGTCCTCTGAAGGCCAGAGTTAAGACTTGGTCCCAAGGCCTTGTTGCTATTAGAAAGTAGTAGCATCTTGGGAGGTGGTATCTCATGGGAAGAAACTAGGGCACAGGGAGGTGAACCCTTGAAGGGATTAATGGGCCCCAACCCCTTCCTCTTCTCTTTGCTTCCCAGCTGTAAGAAGCTGAGCAGCTTGTTTTTACCCACATTCTCCCAACATGATGTGCTGACTCATCACAGACCCAAAACCAGCAGGGCCACCTGCCTATGGACTGAAACCACCAAAACTCTACGCCAAACAAAGCCTTTCACCTCTTCAAGGTAATATCTCAGGTATTTTGTCACAGTGACAGACAGCTGAGTAACACAAGTCCTTTAGTCAGGTGCCCTCTCTCGTCCCAAATCCATTGTTCCCCCTGCTGTCTCTCAAAATATACTTTTGTTTCAGAGCAGTGTGATCCTCAGTCAGAAACCATTTTGTCCCCAGGGATACCTGGCAATGACTGAGACATTTTTGTTGGTCCGACTCAGGGAGGAGGCTGTTACCAGTACCCAGTGGATAGAGGCTGCAGATGCTGCTTAACACCCTATCCTACAACAAAAGGCACCCTGCCTGTGTCAGTAAGGACCAGCATTGAGAAATTGCTTTAGAATAAGGCCTACATTTGCTATTAAACACTTGGGTGTGTGATTACTTGTTTAATACCTGTCCCCAATGGAGTTTCTAACCTCCCTGTGGGCAAAACGTGGGTAATTGGACTCCCCCAATTCCTGCACACCTGCGATGGTGTTCAGGAGGCATCAAGTGGTCAGGCTGTTATACTAGCTAACGTTTACTTGGCTGTGCTCTGCCAGCCACAAGTGCTATGAGCGATCTCTAAATTGAGTGTGAGGGTCTGTTATCCAGAATATTTGAAGAGCCAGAACACACACATAAATGTTCCCAGAGGCCTTCATTTGGGGAATTTTCTCACCCTGGGACGGGTAGATGGACTCAATGACCTTTCTGGTGCTGTTCAGGGCTTTCTCAGATGAAAGTGGCTGTGGGTCAGGTCACTGTGCCACCTGGTGACCATGATGGGGACTGCAGCTATCCCACAGCAGAAGACCACTGTGTCTCCCAGGCTGAAGAGAACAGGTCCCAGACCCCCACCTGTGCCTTGAGAAGCCCACAGCCTCAGGAACCTTGGCTAAAGGCAGGCAGGAGGCTGGGAGCTCAGCTGAGCAGCCAAACACAGAAGGAGGACACCAAAGCCCTGTCTGTGCTACTCCCCAGGATCTTGGGGAGTCACTTGCCCTTTCGGGCTGCAGTTCCGCTGTCAGGCAAGTGGGGAGTCACTGTGAGGCTAGCAGGAGGAAGAGGAGACAGTGGCTGGACCTGGTGGCACTCACCGAGGTGTAGGCCCGCCCACACATGCTGCAGCAGTAGGCCTTGGCATGCTTGATGGCGTGGGCTGAGAGGTGGATCTGCAGGGATGCTGAGTCTGAGTAGGCCCGGTAGCAGTTGGGACACTTGTAGGGCTTGTCCTTGTTGTGCTGGCGCTGGTGAGACTGTGGGGAGCACAGTAGGGGGTCACAAGGTGGGGAGTCCTTCCCTAACCCCACCCCTGCTATGTTCCCTGGGTGGGGGAGGCACTCACCTGGAGGTTGGAGAGCTGAGTGAAAGCCTTTTCGCAGCCTGGATGTGGGCACTTGTAGGGTCTGTCACCTGTGTGGATTCTGCAATGGGCAGCCTAATGAGGAGGGGGTCCCTGACACGGATCCCTAGACCGGTTCCAGGCCCCAAGCTCTTGGCTCACTGGGCCATAACTCTGCCCCTAAGCTTCTCAGTCCCCACCCACACCCTCTCCCCAGTGGGTGAGAATGAGCCCAGGCAACAGGACTTCAAAAGTCACCATCTTCCCTTCCTTCTCTACTGCCAGTCTGACGATAGCCTCCCCACTCCTCCCCATAGGTCCCTGCTGCACCCAACCCACTCCCAGCACTCAGAGGCCAGAGCAGCCTCCAGCTAATCCCACAGTGCTTGCTCGGTCCACTTCTCTGTGCCTCTCTCCTAAAACTCCCACCTTCAGAGCCCCCACTGAAGAGAACAGACTCACAGCACTGTGGGGGCCTTCCCTAAGGAGACAGCACCCTTGAATTAGCCCCCAACTCCTATTTCCTGTCCTCTCTCCATGTCAGACACATGTCCATGATGGTGACAGTCATCCTAGTGACAAAGAACGCAGAGCAGTGTGGCCCTGAAACTCAGCCCCTCTGAGTCCTTGCTGGGAGCTCCTTTTGCACCCCCCCATTCCGAGGTTCTTATCCTGGATCTGCTCTCTACTAACTGGATGATCTCAGGCAAATTACTAGTAGTTTCCTCATCTGTAAAATGGGTACACGAAACAAGTCCACACCTCACTGGGCCCTGTGACGACTACATCAGGTAACATGTAAGGGGGTTCAGCCCAGTGTTGGCACTGACAGCCAGCGCTCAACAGATGCTTGCAGGTGTTGTTACTGGTTCACTCAGCCTTTGTCACATCAGCATCACGCTAGGACCTCGAATGCATCATGAACTACACAAACCAAAACTACTGCCCAGTAGAAATGACCAATAAGCATGAGGTATGTAAATCACACAGAGAAGGCAGTGAGTGCTGAGGGAAAAACGCGGAACAGGTGAGGAACCCTGTGAGTGTCACAGAGGAGGAGGGCGGTCTGAAACAGAGGGGGGGGCACCGAGAAGGTGACATTGGATCAGTGACCCGGAGGCTGATGACAGCTCATGCTTATCCAACAGCCTACATGAAGACAGAGCCTGAACGGAGTGGTGACATTGGCAAGTGGCACTCAAGGTTCTGCACATAAAATGGGTGGTCTTCCCTGCATACCACACCCAGCCCTTGGTGGCTCCCAGCTTGCTGATTCACCAGCCTGGCAAATCCTCTGCCAAGCAAGCAGTCAGCCAAAGACCAGCAAGGCCAGAACCCCAACAAGTATTAAGTGAAGGGTAAACCCAGATGGGGCTAAGTAGTGTCTTCTTCCCTACAATGCCCAGTCTCACAAGTTGGCAGCCAGGGTCTGCTATGCCCACCACCTGACTCATCAAAGAAACTAAGGCCCTTCAGCCAGGCCCAGCACTAGACTCAGGGATACCCAGGGCTCCAAAAAGTATCCAAATTCTTATGTCACTCAAGCCCTTTCTCCAGTGGTCCAGCCTCATCTTCCAGCTCTCTAGTACCCACACCCTGGTTAGGACTGCTGCTGTCTAACAACTGCATCTGAGGATTCTCCCCATCACCCCTCCACCCTGCTATGCTCCCTTCCTTCCACACGCCAGGGCCTCCTTCCCAGCCATCATAGCCGAGCTCTGAGGAGCCTCCCTGAGCAAGATGCTCGCCATACCACCTCTGGCACCCCAAGCCCCTGAACATCACAGACCTTCCTCAAAGTGCTGACCCTCCAATTCTCAGGGCCACCTGTGTGTCTCCTCTACTAGATGGGGAATCATGAGGGCCGAGGCAGGCCCCACAGACTGCACCCAGTCATGCCATGTGGAGCTGACCCAGTCCCGAGAGCCTCTAACTATCTGCACAGGCCCTGCACGGGGTCACATTGAGGACATCACCCTAGACCACTGCTTGGTCTCTACAGCAGAAGGTCAGGAAGGTTCCAGTTCCATCTGGTGTCAGCACCCCCTCCCTCTCCACCTCCCTCGTTTCCTTCCAAGGCTGGGGAATTTAGTTGGGAGCAGGTGGCAGAGGGGCCTAAGGGTCCCCAGGATACATGCTGCTTTGTTTTAAACCTCACAATGGCCTCCCCTAGAGTCCTCTCCTCCTGCTGTGCTCAAGTTCCTCCTTGCCATCCCCACCCCCTGGATCCCACAAGTAACTCTGGCATCTGAGGCTCCCCTCCTCCTCCTGACCTCTCTCCAGGCTTTTCCCTCCTCCCGGCACATTGTTCCCTCACTTCCCACCTGCTAAGCACACGCTCCTATGCTCAGGATTCAAGTCTCTTCCCCCAACAGCCTGCCCTGACTTCAGGTACTTCTGTTGGTGTCTGCTCAGTGACTTCCTGAGAGCAAGAACTCCTTTGGTCTCCTTCACCACCATCGCTCCAGTGCGTGGCATAGGCCTAGCACAGAGAGCCTCAATAAACAGCTACAGGCTGCACGAAAGAAAAGTTTCTTCTCTCTAAAGTTACTCATTGACAACAGAATTACGTTCATGTAATCAAATTCTGTTCTTAAGTTGTATGTCAGAAGCGTCTGTTGACTGAATCACTGATCATCCCTACGGACGTCAGGTCCTTCCTGAGGGACCTGCTAGGTTCTCTTAACAGCAAACTTCCCCCTCTGGCCTCCTGCCCTCTAAGTGGACCATCCGTACGGCTTCCTCCCTGGACCTTTACCTCAATATCTGCTGCCCGACCTTGGTCACAGCAGTAGCTACAGGTGTCTGGCCTGGTTGTAGCCCTGCTAGGCAACCTCCAGGGTCTCCCTGTTTTTCCAGGACAGGGTCCCAAGCCCCTGCCCCACCTTTCAAGGCCATTTCACATTCTGACCTCAGTTCTAAACCCCCAGCCACTGCTTTCCCAGCCTGGCATCTCACAAGCATCCCCAACACATGTGGCACATACTGGGCCCTTGCTTCTATTCTTCCCCTACCCAGAATGCCTTCTCCTCTGAGACAGAAGGGCCACAGACCCTTCAAGCTCAACCCAGATGATTCTCCCCACCTCCACCTCATCCTTCCTTCTCACAGGTCACAGTGGGGGTCCCACCAGGCCAGGGCCTGCCTCTGACCCCCGAGGTGTCCCTGCCCCCGGCACCTAGCACAGTACTGGCTCAGAGAGAGCTTCAGAGCGGGGCCTCTGGAAGCACCAGACCAGGCTGCCTGCTGCACTGGCTGCCCTGGGAAGTCTGTGAATTCCAAGTCAGCTCCAAGCCTTCCCTTTCAAGGTAGAATCCTCCTCTGCTCTGGGCCTCTTTCCACTAGAGGGCCCCCCAGACTCAGGTAGTAGTCAGGAAAAGTCCTGAATCTGGTGCCCCCCACTATTCCCCCAGCCCCACTCCCTGAAATCCCACTCCTCCGCCCCCATGTAAGCTCCCCCTGCAGCCGACACCCCTGCCCCTCTGACCTTCCTGCGGCACAGCCGCTGGCTCCTTGGCACAATGCCCCAGATCCCACTGTGCCACCTTAGCTGAGTGACCCTGGGCAGCGACTTTGCCTCCCTGAGCCCCAGTGTCCACCTCTCTAAAGTGGGATGATAATAATAAAGATTGTAAGAACTAAAATTATCTGATGACTTTATATAGAGTGTTTATAAAATAATCTAAAACTATAAAGAGGGAATACATTTGATGTTCAAATAAAATTAAGGATTCACTAGATAGACGGGTTGTTATTCCAATAACAGTAATAATAATAATAATAATGATAATGATAATGTTCCAAGTTGACTTTTATTTCTCAGGTATTCAGTATTGAATGACTTCATGCTTTTCAAGTAAAACAACAGTCGGTACAGTGAAAGTTAACATTCCTTTAGATGATTTCCTCTTTTCTCAAACTCATGGAAAAACAAAAGTTCACACTGTACAAGGACTTAACAAACACCTTGTGTATTAAAGTACCTTATGTAGGGGAGGCAGGAGAGCTCTTCATAAGAAACCACTGGCGATGCTATTTATCACCGTTATCATCATCAGAAAACAAAAAAGGGCACAGCCCCTGAAATGGTTATCATTACACATGTAGCTAACAGCACACAACCAGGAAAAGAGAAACACAAAACACACTTTACATCTTGAATAAACAAACAAACAAATGCAGCGTCATCCTGTCTGGCACTAGGTTCCATGAATAGATAACACTCTGCTTTTTCCTGTAATTTCCTAACTCCCTCTCAAAACGGTCTTATCCCTGATGTCTGCACTGTGCCATCTGCAGACGTGTGATGACCTTTATACATATGCTAACTGCATGAGAGCCCTGCTGTTTTTCCACCATGAATAGACCAACTATAGCAGAAATGTTTATTTTCTCTATAAAAACATGTGGTATTTATTATTTAGTGGGCTGATCCTTCTGAAGTCTGGCCTGTGCCACCCTTCACAAGTCATCCGCTTTTCTCTGCATGTTATGCCTTCCTCTCTCCACGCAGGCCCTCTCAAAAATGGTCCTACTCCGCCAGTGCCACAAAACTATGTCTCCCCAACAGTAGTCTTGGTCACATCATTCTCAACTCTTGGGCAGACCTTGCGTGTCGCTTTCCAACTCTGCCTCTATCGCCTGACCACAATTGGCTCTGCTTTGGGCATAACCTTCTTTGATTCCTTCATTAAGCAACAATGGGAATTAAATGATCTGATTGGCACTCTGCCAAAAGAAAGAAATACAGAAAAGGTTCTTCGTTGAATAGCTGAGGACAGAGAACTTGGAATACTATTGCTCCTTTAGGGTTGGATTTTTTGTTGTTTGTTCACTGGATTCTGGAACTCTGGGCATTTGGGACACCCACCTCTTTGCCAGAGGGTGAGAACACATTGGTTTAATTATATGTACCAATGCCTAGTGACTTATAAATGGCCTTCCAAATGCTGACAGAATTCTCTTATGTTGTTTCTTTGGTTTCCTACCATTATGAACTTAAATCACACAAAAGAAAAAAGAGAGAGAGAAAAAGTTGTGCCTAAAGGAATGGAGAGCAATACTTGAGTTTGGGGACATTCTTCTTGAAGGGCTTATTAATTTTGAGGGAAGGGGGGCCATGTTTTAAATGACATTTTTAAAACAGTTTACTTCTTTTAAAAAAAGCCAGAATTTTTAATCATTACCATTACTCGCTACTACGTCTACTTTCAACCAAACTGAGGCCCCTATCTTGCCTATTCTGCCAACTTTCTGCTACCACCTTTCTCAAATACAGGCCCCTAGCTCAGAATATTGAAGTTGTTAAGGTGTCTTTAAATGCAAATGCTCTTGGAATGTCCAGGTGGCCACTGGGCAACACCACAAATTTGATCCCTTGCGTTAAAAAAAGAGCGATACTCAGAACAACTGGCCCCATTGTGTATTCTCTATATTTTTAATTTAGCTCAGTGGTTCCACTGCCTGCCTCGAAAGCACAAAGACCCGAGTTCAATCCCCAGTACCAAAAAAAAAAAAGAAAATCATAAATTAGTTGAACACAAGAGTAACAGCTGCCCTTTGAAATTTGCAGTGTAAGAAAGGGGATTCAGACATCATAAATAACATGTACATCATATAAATGTCTATATTTAGTATACTTTTGAAGAAGGATCAAAAAACTATTTTAATACAGAGACTGGCACAATAACTATCAACAAAAACATTGAGAGTACTGTCATGGGCTCAGATGTAGCTCAGTGGTAGAGCACGTGTTCACGTAGTGTTCATGAGGCCCTTCATCCAATCTCCATAAGAAAAGGCCTCTAGATTTAAAACATCAATTAATCATTAATTCTATGTTTTGTGAGAGAAATTAAAAGGCCTGAATATGGGGGTATTGCACTGCTGCGCATAACGTTCTTAATCTGAGAAACTGATCATTACACCTTAATAGAGACTGCCATTCTCCTCTATTCTGATATTGATTATGGGAATAAGTTGACCTGAGTCATTTATTCTCATCAATAAGTCTCATTTCCTCCCGTAACATCTGCCTTAAGGCCTTTCTTTGAGCTACAGTCTTCTGCAAGAAACATCAAGAGAATGCAACCCCAGTAAGGGCTGGGGCACATACACCTGGCTCTTTATACTTCATGGAAGCAATGATGGGCTCAGGCTTCTACACTGACATCACCAGCACGACCACACACCCACAGGCCATGCAGGATGCAAGAGTCTTTGGTCCAGAAGCAAACAGCAGGTTGTTGACTAGCCCAGGACTATATGAAACTGTTTTCAGTGTAATTAAGGGTCCATTTTCTGAAGGCCATATGAGAAAACTCTTTTTTTTTCCCCCTCTTTGGTCTATCTTTGATCCTCAATTGAAGATGTTATATTTAACAAAGTAGAATGAGTATCTGTTAAACAGTCCCTTGTTCCAACTACCACCTCACAATTCATTGTGGGACAAACTATAATCTCAGCAGGAGGATCACTACTAGTTCAAAGCCAGCCTGGGCTACACAGTGAGTTCAAGGTCAGTCTGAACTACACAGCAAGACCCAGTCTCAAAACAAATAAAACAATTAACAAACTAATACATTTATCAAGTAAGTTTTCAAATAACAATTCTATTGAAAACAACATAATCAGTAGTCATCTATAAAACTACTCAGAATAATTGTTTACAAACATTCAAAGTGCTTCTAGTGCAATCTCTTTTCTTTTCACAATCATTAGTTCTGTGTACAGATTCAATAAGAACCTGCCCTCCTTCTGAACATGATATAATTAAGTAAATCAAATTTGTAACCATGACCGTGCCAGAAATGTCACATTTAAAGGCAAATCTCGTTTAATTAGGCATGACAAGCCTAACAGGCTGGTACTTCCTATGTGAGAATGAGGCCTCCCCAGGCCTCTGGCAAACGCTGGACCTGCTCCATGGTTTGAGAAGCTGCTGTCTTGACAGTGATTCTAAAAAAATTCAATTCTTGCTCTTCCAGGAACATTGATAAACTTGAAGATTGTCCAAAAAGAGGGCACCCTACAGTCACACAATCTGGCAGAGGTGAGTTGGATGGTTCTGAGTTCTTAATCTCTGATAATCTAATAAAAGATTTTTCTACCCACTCCCCTACAACACATAAATGAATACAAATTTGACAAAGTCTCCTGTCAGAAGTTAGCCTCTGTAGCCTTTGTTCCACATGCTCTAACTCTAAGAACCATGCAACCAAGAGGACCTAGTTAATCCACGCCTTATTACATACATCTGTGCGCATAAAACTGGCTAATTTTTTAAAAACCAAAGTAGTGACAAAATCAGAAAATTGCTGAGACCAACTTCTTTGGTCAGGTGCATGCCTTAGGAGGCTTGGGGAGGAGAAAAGAGATTGCTAACTTGCCCTGCAGCCATTTCTCTTGCTGCACAACATGCTCCGAAGTCAGAGATATAGACAAAGTAAAACACTTTGCATCCTGGGATAAAGGATACAAGAACAATGCATGCCAAAAAAAAAGGTTTCCCTCTCTATAGCATGATAGTTCCCTAAGAGAGAAAAAACTTTGAGCTTTGTCAGTAAGTTAAAAGCTCCACAGCAACACAGTTTCCTCCCTGACGTTGACCATGTTTGATACTGGTGACCACATGACCACACTTCCAGCAATGATAATCATCATGTGAGCAAACTATTTCTTCCCCTCTGACAAGTAAAACGCAGTTCTGGAAACCTTTCCTTTCCTTTGTTTTATTAAATATCTACGGTATTTTTATTTGATAAGCCAATCTTTCTGATGTCTGCACTCCTCTACAAAAACTTTTCTTCCTTTAAAGCATGTGTTCCTTAGAGTTCCCCTTTCACACCCTTGGCTAGACTGTAAGCCACAGTAGGCGGAGATTTTGTCTATTTTGTTCCTGCCTGCATCCTCAACACCTAGGATGGTGTCTGGCATAGTATAAGGGCTCTGTAAGAATTTGTTAAATAGACGAATCATATGCTCTGTACAAGCTAGTTCTATTTATTTCAACAAGGCCATTTTTATTTTAACAAAGGCCAAAATGCTTTTATATTGCACACAGCGGGAATATAGAAACAGAGGACACCAAGTCCTTGCCTTCAAGAACTCCCAATATATCAGGGAAAAGTGGGCAAACATGCAGGCCAGTACACAACAGCCCACCACTACTGTAATGCAGATGCACAGGGCTTATGAGAACATAGGCCAGGCCCCTTATCCAGGCTGGGGCCCCAGAGCTTGTGGGAAGAAGGTGGACTAAAATGGCTAGGACTTGGGCAGTGCCTCAGGAAAATGACACAGCACGTGCAAAGACCTAGGGATGAAAAAGTGGTGCAGCAGTGAGAGCGGAGTTCAATGGTCAGCAAGGGCCACATCATACAAGGCCTCTAAGGTCAACCAAAGGAATTTGGTCTTAACCTTGGGGGTAACAGGCACGTAGAGAAGGTCTTTGCTTCTCCTTGTACCAGCTCCATGCACCAGGCCACAGGTGCAGAGCTCAACAGGCTGCAGTAGAGCAACATCAGGCCGGCCACATACCTGGTGTGCTGCTGGAGGTGGGAGAGCTGTCGGAAGGACTTATCACAGTAGGAGCAGTGGTAGGGCTTGACACCCAGGTGGATGCGCAGGTGCTGGGCCAGGTAGGAGGCGTTGGCAAAGGACTTGGAGCAGTGCGGGCACTTGTGGGGCTTGGCCTCTGTGTGCGACTTGGAGTGGATCTGCATCTCAGACTTGGTGAAAAAGGTCAGCGGGCACACCTTACACCTGCAGGCAAGAGGCAGGTTCACACCTGGGAAGACCTCCCCAGCCCCTGCTCTACATCTCTGGGGAGACCTAAATCAGAAAGACCCGCACCTGGAACAGAGCTTGCCTGTCAGGAGTCCAGGGGACACAGATCCACTGGGAAAGAAAGCAGGCTCCCGGCCGGGGCACCCTCCAATTTGGGGATGGAAGCTCCTATATCTGGGGAACATATGCAGCAGCCTTGGGAAAAGGTCTGCACTCACAGAAGACAGGCCAGGATCCCAAAGAGGGCTGGCATAGGGCCACACCCATGGTGGGGAAAGGAGGCTTTAACATGCTAAGTATTTCACAACCTGACAGCAGTCAGAATCCTCTGGGAGCTTTCAAGAAATACCAATGCCCAAAACAAAACAAAAAGCAATGACTGGTTCCCCTGTGTCCCCATGTTCCAAAAATTAATTCAAACTTTCTGAAGTGCAGTCCTGGCATTGACACATTTTGAAAGTTCTTCAGATGGTTCTAACATGGCAGGGCACCACTTAAAGGGAGGAGGACATGGCTCCCAGTGACTTCTGAAGGATCTATTTCCCCTCTCCTGCCCTGTCCCCCAACATGGCTTTAGCTTTGGGCAGGGCTCATCAGGAGACCCTACCCCTCTGACCCTTAGCTTCTTTCCTTAGCCCCCAGGGCCCCTCTTTCCAATACTTAGTACCAGCTCCCTGGCCCACCCCCCTGAACCCTGTCCCACCAAGACCCCCACCTGTATGTCTTGCCCTCCTTGGCAGTCTCGCCTGAGGCCAAGATGGGGTAGGGGACAACAAGGACAGGGGGACCCCCTGGGTTCTCTGCCTTGATCTTTTTGCGGCCACGTTCAGACTTGGGGGGGCCAAGCAGGCCGTGGCCCTGGATTGTCTTGATGGAGTCCAGGAGGGGGGGGCTGGTGATCCCTGAGATGAGGGTGGGGGACGAGGCGATGAGCCGGCTCTGGCTGGTGGTGGTGGGTGTGGACGGGGTGCTGGTACCCGTGCCTGTGCCGGTGCCCGTGCTTGCACTTGACTCGGACGTGCTCACAGCCGGGGTCCGAGAGGAGAGCCCCAGACCTGTGAAGATACCAGGTTGGGGCAGGGGTGACGGGAGCTGCAGAGGCCAGCTCAACCCAGGCTAACCAGCTGTGTGGCCCCAGCATCTCTGAGCTTCCCTTCCTATTCATAAGTTATTTCCCAGGCAAAACTAAATGAAAACATGTATATGTGTAAAATGCACTAGATAACTTAAGACTAAATTAAGTGAGATGAGAGACATTTTGGAAATAATTCCAACCACAGAAAAATCTTTAGGCACAAAGATGTTCAACACTGTGTCATTTATAATAACAAAAAAATTAAAGGCAACTGAAATATAATTAGGGAAGGGTTGAGTAAATAAATAGTGGTCTCTTGAATTTCCCATTAACTGTGTTTTAAAAACCTGAAAATGTATGCATAAAGAAAAAATTTTTACGTGCCAAAGTATGATTATGGAAGGAAGTGACTTCAAAGAGCATCCCTTTGATTTTTTGGCTTTCTGATTCTTTGATAATAAACTTTTTAAAACTTTTACAATCAGTTATGCTTTTTAAAATGAAGGAACTTTGGGCCAGGGATTTAGCTCAATGGTTCCACTGTGTAAGGACCCAAGTTCGATCCCTGGTACCAAAAATAAATAAATAAATAAATAAGGAACTAAAAACATTTGTAATATCAATCTTCGCAGATAAAAAGATGCAAACAGTATCTATCATGTAGCTCACATTAAAGAAAAAAAGAAAGACAGAGAAACCAAAAACCTGTTCATTGAAAAAAGCCACACAAGCGCAAGGACCCAAGTTCAATCCCTGGTACAAAAAAAAAAAGCCAATATCCAGAGTATGTTTTGTGTCTCACACTCATGGTGGAAACATACATTTATACGCCCTTATACGTGCCCTTCATGAAGGACAGTATGGCAACAGCCATCAAAACTTTAAACATGTAACTTTTGACAGAGCAATCAAATCTTCTCTACAGAGACCTAACAAAAAGAAATAGTCACATATGAGCACACACAGCTGTGTACAAGGCCCTTCCATGCAGCTCTGTGGTCAGACAAAACTGGATATAACCCATTTGACCTCAGGTGGGGCTGTACAAATATATGTGGAACCTCCTCAGCCGGAGGACTGAGCAGCCACCCAAACAAGAGCTGGAACGCAGTGGCACAGAGCAAATGCCAGAATGTGCCACCATGAGAAAAAGCAAATCACAGGCTTACAAACCCATCTATTTTAAAAACACACACTCAAACTATGTACAGATACACGGACAATATATGTGTGTGCCAAGGCAAGGAAAAGATCACAGGAAAGATACACCATACTGCTAACTGATTCTGTGTAGGGAGAAAGAAGAATTTTTGGGTAACAGGAGACTTTCATGCTTTGCTTATCTGCTTGGACATTATTTGAAACTTTTACCTGGTGAATTCATCCATATTTAATATCTGTGATTAAAGGATAAAATAAAATAAATGATAGAGAAAACATAAAAATTCTAACAATAAGAACTAAGGCTAATTTTTCTCCTTTCAACTTATCTGCCATTTCTAAATTTTCTATAATGACTATGCTATTATCTTTACAATAAAAATGCAATAAATGTGTTTATGATAGAACAGCAAGTAGAAAAAGCAAGTTAAATCATGGACACAGCCCTCCCTACCACAAGCTCAGAAAAACACACACATATTAAAAAAACAACAAATAAAAAATATGAAAAAAGGAAATGGATGAGAAGGCTCTTTAAACTGCTGGGGTAGGAGTTGGGGATTATGAATTATTTTTTTCTTAGTTTCTTTTTTAAAATTTCCCTTAATATGCTTATATTGCTTTTTTAATATTACTTTTGTAATGAAAAAATAAATTTAATAAAATCATAACAACAGGAGATGTGCAGAGTGCAGCTGGGGAGGGGGAGGATCATCAGGCCTCACAGTTCTTGGGCATCTCTAAGAAAAGGAGAGAGACAGGAAAGGAGACAGAGATAGCTGGCTGGTGCCAGAGGGGAGCCACGGTGGCTTTCCGAGGAAGCCAGGTCTAAGGAGGATCTCAGACACTCCAGTTCCTTGACACCTTCCCAGGATATCCCACAGCACCCTAGCCCCAACCTATTCAAGATGCAGTTCCCCTCTTCCCATGCACCTCTTCTGGTGACCCCATCTCCATGGCTGCACCCTGGGAGTTTCCTGCACATACTCCCTCTCCTTGCCACCTACGTCCTCTCCAGCAGCCCTGTCCACTCTTCTCACTGTACCTCAGATCTGTCCACTTTCCTCCATTCTCACCGCCACCTCCTGGCCCACTCCACCATCCTCTCCCAAAGATCCTCCTACTTTCGTCCTTTGTCTCCTAATACCCAGTTTCTACTCCAGACAGACAGACTTGGCTTTCTAAATCTACACCTGGCATTTCCCTCCCCTACTTAAAATCCTTCCATAGCTCCCCCAAAGCCCCAGGGCAAAGTTCAAACTACTTGAAGGGCCCCTGACTATCTAGTGCCTGCTTCCTCTCAGCCTTGGCAGGACTAGGTCCAGAAAAGGGCTAAGACACCAGCTCTGGAATCACACTGCTTGCCCCTGCTTCCTACTAGCTACGAAAGCTTGGTTTCACATGACTTTACTTTTCTCTGCCTCAATGTCCCCATCTGGAGACAGGAGGGTGAAGCACAGGAAGCTGCAGTTTTTATAAATCGAAAAGGGTCCATTGTTCAGGTTAATACATAACACTCACTTCACAGGCCTGCTGGGAGTAATAAGCAGTAAGCCAACTGGACTTAGCTACCATTATCATCATCTTCGGTCTTCCCCAAACCAATCCTTCTCCTGCTTCCTACATACAATCCTCCTTGGCATGTGCTGTTTCCCCTTCCTGCTCTCTCATCTTGTTGACTGCAAACTTTCCTTGTATTTTGGCCCCAAGGAAGTCTCTCTTCCACTAAATCTGGTCAAGTTTCTTCTGTAGATTCCCAATGTTCTTAATGTTGATTTGGGTTTCCTGTGAGCCCCTAATGGACAGACTAGCCCTTGGCTGGTCCACTGGAGGAGACAGAAGAAGTCCTGTGGCTAGTCCCACCAGCCCGAGATCCAAGCTTACCTTCATTCCTCACAACTACCTGGCCCTGTAGCCCAAGTCTCACCCAGCCCTGCTTCCATTCCATTCTCCATTCAGTACTCATTACTGACCAGTCTTGCCATTTCCCAGGCGCCACTCTTCCTCCGCCCAGCCTATCGCCACCCACCACAGGCCCCACATGCCCGGTCTCCGCCCACCCAACCCCGTCTGCCCTCCATCCACGGTCTGCCCCTGGCTCCGCCCACCCGGCCCCGCCCAGTCTCCTCTCCTGCCGGGGCTGCCCACCTGTAACAGTGCTGGTGGCCGGCCGTGCGTGCAGTGCCACGTCCGGCTGTGGCACTGCCTGCGGGTGCAGCCCGGGCACCTGCTGCAGCTTGGGCAGCGACATGACAGCCTGGCTGCTTTCAGCGGGTGCAGGCGGCACTAGCAGCGGCTGCTGAGATGAGGCCGATGTGGGCGGCAGGTGAGGCGGCCGGATCTTCTCCGCCATCAGCTGCTCCTTGATCTTGTTAATCAGGACCAGGTTGTCCAGCTGCCAGTGGGAGAGAAAATGGGCTGAGGGGCCGCTTCCCTGGGCTGCCAGTGCATCATACTACAGCACGCGCGCGCGCGCGCACACACACACACACACACACACACAAGGCAAAGCACCAGCAGTCAGGGGACAACATTGCTCTTACCTGGCTGGGCATGGTGGGAGGAGGGGGCCAGAAGTAAGGGTTGTTAAATCGAGGCTCGGCCATCCTGCAGGGGGAGCGGGGAGAGAGAGACTGTCAATGCTGAGTTTCCATCAGCTAAGCCCACTTACTTCAGGGCCAGTGTCTAGGATCGCTGCCCCCCCGCAGGACCCTAAGCCCTGCATCACAGCAGGCCTCCCATCAGGCTAGAGACCCACATCTCCAGTCTGGAAGGTCTGGAATTCAGGGGTCCCAGAGAGCAAAGATCAATACCCAGACCAGAATACTCCCAGCCAGCCACCCCCCACTCCATCAGCCTAGCACTGGCAGGCTGGTCTCCATGCCCCAGGAGGCCCTGTGCTGCAGAGCCAGCTCCACGGACTCATGGATTCCACACAAAAGTCTCTCCCCTTCCAAAGACAAACTGGGTGTCCTGGAGCAACTTTGCAAGTGGCCACAGAGCAGAAGCAACTGTCCCTCCCCCATCCCTGTCCTTCCCCTGAGCGAAGGCATCCTCATTAGAGTCCAGGGGCACACTGGGATCACCAGATACAGCCTTTCCCAAGGGAAGTTTAGCAGGACAATTTATCAAGACCCAAACAACTACTGCTCTTCGACTCAAAAAACTGGACTTCTGTAAAATTACCCTCAAGCAAAAGGCACAGATGGACAAGGCACCACCTGACCTACCAGGATGCGCATCAGAATGCTGTTTGCTAGAAGGGGTTCGTGGGGGGGCTGAGGCTAGGGCACTTGGGGGCCATGTAGTGGGCAATCCCATCAGTGGCCCTCACCTCCGGCAAGTTTCATAGCAGCCTGTGTGGTTAGACAGTCTTTTCAACCAGGGCAGGGAGAAGGATGGGCCTTGGGGGGCCACCTCAATTCTCCAGAGAGTCTGAGTCTCCCTTAACCCCTGATAAGTCAAGAAGTGATTACAGGGACTGTACTACACGAAAGTGTTCTGCTAATCCTTACTCCTTCTTGAGCCTCTCAATTCTCTTACAGAAATTACTAGCTGGTTCTGTTGCTTAAGTGAAACTACTTACAGTATTTTGAGCAGAAAGGCCAAAATAAAGTGCCTTCAGACTCTCCCTGGTCCTACAAACTTGAGAAGCCCCTACTGGAATTGTAGTCTTGGAGTTTCAGGAGAAAACCCTCAATTGGGACACAACCTCATCTGAACATTTTAAGAAAGAACTTGTACACAATTTTATCTTGTGATCTTTACTTGAAAAATACACACAAGAGGTACTATGCCATTTTACAGATGAAGACGGAGAGGAAGAAGAGACCTGTCCGAGTCCACAGGGCTAGGGTGCCAGGATGAAGACCAGAGATCAGATTTGCTCAAGCTGGTTCCTTTGTGGAATTTGGTTTGCAAATCCAGTCCTTGGTAAAGCAAATATCCACTGCAAATAGCTCAATACCCACATGCAAAAGCCATTCCCAGACCAGGGCAGAATTGGTTTAAGCCTGGCCAGGCTGGGGATCATGGAATCCTTTGGGGCAGGCTGGGTAACTCCCGTCCTCCACCAACTTTCTGCTTGTGCCACTCACAGGTACCAGAATGCCCTTCCCTCTCCCCATCCAACCTCTACAACACAAGAAGTACTTTCTGCCTACTGTTCTCCCTGACTCTCCATGCCCCCGAGACTTCCTTTCCAGGAAAAAATTCAAAACAATAATTAACAGTGAGGAGGCTGCACACGTGCTGCCTTGTATCAGGCACAGAGAGATGGAAAGGCAAGTACTCTTGTCATCCCTATCTTGCAAATAAGGAAACCGAAATTCAGAGAAGTAGAGTGACTTGTTCAGGGTCACACAGCAAGTCAGCAGACAGCTGTAACTCCCACTCTAATGGACCCGACTCAAAGTCCCGTCCATCAGTTTCTCGGCTGTTCCAGAGAAAGATGAAGCACCCTGACTGTAGACTTATGGATGGGCCCTGCTTCAGGATGGCATGGCTGTGACCCCACAGGTGAGCATCTGCCTGCCCAGCAGTCTCAGGACCTGTCCCTTCCCTGCTGTTGTCCACAGGGAAGAAAGTGGAAGGGCCTGAGCTGTAAAGCCAGGGTGAGGAGGTTCCAGGACAGGAATTGGGGAGCCGCCCTCAAGGAGCCTGGATTGGACATACCGGTCTAGTTCGCCGGGTATCATGGCACCCAGGCCTGAAGGTTACCAATAATGGCAGTTGCACAACAGAACGAACAAATGCAGGAATAAAAATCAGAATTACTTTAAAACCAATCCCACATGATTCTCTTGTGGTGTCCAGCTTACAAAGCTCTTCTGAACCCACTGACTCTCTCTCCAGAACCCTAGGAGGATAGCACGTGGGGTCAAATTTTTACCCCTACTTGACAGAGGCACAAACCAGGGCATCAGGAAGGTCCCTTGCTCCAGGCCACATAGATGGGACATAGGAGGACATAGCGTGCTGCACAGCTGGATATCACTTCTCTAAGTCTCACTCTTCCTCATCTGTAAAATGGGGAGAAACATTCTGCCCCACCTCGTTCCTTGGTCACCGCACTGGGCTGCTTCTGATACAGTCCTGAGGAGCCATTCTGCCCTCCTCCTCTTCAGTTCAGTGCCAACTTCAAGCTTCCCAGAGTCTCAGCCTAGTCAGGCAGCTGTGGGAAGCACCAGGGTCCCAGGCTGCAGTAGAGCATCTTCTGCCACTCCTCAGCCCCTGGGCAGGCAGGGTCAACCCTTACCCTAGCTGGGAGCCAGGCTCATGGACAGGAGGGCTGCACCCCAAGTCACCTAATCTCATCCACACAGCCACTGCCTGATTTCCCTGCATCCTTCTCTGGCTGGTTCTGGGTATTTAATGACCAAGTCAATGGCCCTGGCCCTGTATCACCACTGTGTGGCAGATGCAGGGAGGGCAAAGCAGAGGCTGAACATGTTCTGAGCCAAGGGTTCATCCACAGTCAAATGAGTCCCCAGCAAGGCTCAGAGGTGGTATTTCTGGTGCCACCTGGGAGTGGTAAGCGGCGAAGGGCAGGTGACTGGGGCAAGGCTAAGCCACTCAGACCTTGCCCAGAGGGAGGGAGGGGGTGTGAGGCAGGAGAGGCACCGTCAGTGTATTTAGAACACATGGACAGGCAGAGGGGCATTCCCAGCAGAAGTGACAGCTTGAAGAGAGGCATGGAGCTGTGACAGCACATGGCCAATCTGGGGCAGTGAGCTTCCGCTCCCAGGTACCCAAGAGCCACAGAGATGTGAGGTGGTAAGAAACACAGAGGCCAGTCTGCAGGGCCTCTAATGCCAGGCCATGTTGGATGAGACAGATATCAGTGGCGAAGAAGCAACAGGAAGCATGCAAGGCCAGGGGAGCAATGGAGCAGAAGGGGCACCAACCTCGGAGAAGACAGAGAATCCGGGAGAGAGGGGTAGGGAGACAAAGGAGTGGGGCGGGCTGTGTTAAGCATCCGTGCTTGCTTGAGCAGAGGAGACAGGCCGGCTGTTGGGAAGGCTGGGCAGACTGGGTAGGGCCAAGACTCCTATGAGCTCCAGGCCCAGATCCCTGATCCTTGCAGGGACAGAAGAGCCGTCATTCTGCTTTCCTTGTTCTAAAAGGTAGAGGGGTGGATGAACATGCATCCCCTGGGCTGCTTCTGGAAATAGGGTCCTGCTGGCAGCCAGCCACCCATCACCCATCCATCTGTGCCTACCAGTCACATCCTCCTGGCCAAGTCGGGACAGTGCTGGGGAGCAGGTGGCCAATGGGAGGAACACTCCCTTCTAAGCTGAGTGGAAGAGCAGCCAACCCAAGGCTTCTGAAAGAAAGAGGAGCTGCCTCCTATGAGACTCACCACATACCAGTAACCTCTGTTGGTCCTGTCCTATGTGGCCTCCCTGCCACCTAGACACAGGACAGGGGTGGGGGAGGCTGTGTGCCAGTTCCCTGGGATTCCTCACCTTCTCCACCCCTGGCCCCCACCAGCAGGAGCCTCCTCTCCCCCCACATCAGCCCCTGGGTGGCCCTACCTTCTAGGCTCTAAATACCAACCAACCTTGAGCCTCCAGCTCTGGCTCAGGCCTCCATCACCACTGCCACCTCCCCTAGCTCAGGCTCAGTGGGGCTGTGCCCGACACAGCCTCCTCTAGCCATCCCACCCCTAAGTAGGACAGCCCCATCTGCCCAAACACACCGTGAGCCCACAGCACTTCCCTCTCTCCCCTCCTCTCAGGCCCACCACCAACCACATCCACAGGAGGCCATTTCTGGAATCTCTCAAACCCACCACCCCTTCCCACCAGTCCTGGGACCACGGAACAGCCTGCTTTGTTTGGAGTCCAGCACGCCAGTTCAAATCTCAGCTCCAACTCACCAGCTGTGTGATCTTGAGCAAGTCACTTGCCCCTTTCCCCACTTAAAGGATCGGCAACCCAAAGCCTGGGGATAACCCAGACTGGGGGGCGGGGCAGAGAGACTTCACAGGGAAGCAGGGGGGCCTGCCCTGGGTCTTAAAGGGTGAGACAGTGGGGACATGCTGGCAGAAACAACAGCTGGGGCAAGGGCCCACAGATGAGAAGCATGCAGCAGGGAGAAGACACAGGTGTCCTGGTGCTGTTGGGAGACGAGGACAGGGCTGCACGGTCAGCCAGGGCCAAGCCAGGGAGGTGGATCCCTGAGCCCCAGGCCTGGAGTCTGGACCAGAAGTGTGGGTGATAGGGCAGTGTGTGGATTAGAAAGACCCCCCGCCTGCTGGGTGCTGAAGGGTCTGCAGAGGCAGGAGGGTCCCCAACAGGAGGCTCTAGAGAAGGGAGCAGCGAGGAAGGGCTGCACCAGGGCCTGGAGGACAGTGACCTCACAGGGCTGGCCACTTGGTTAGAGCTGCAGGCAGCTCCCACAGTGTGACCTGGGAGGTCTCTCGATGCCATCAGGGACAAACACAGCCACAGCAACATGCAGACAGACAGCACCAAACCTGGACACAAGGGACACACAGATCTGCGGCCACAAGCAGGACCAGTGGGGACACAGAAACTGCCATGAATGGGAAGCCACAACCACCAGGACACAGGCAGCTACTGAAGGAAGGAAATGCGGACCTCCCCCGGGCACAGCTGGAGGGCAGCAGTGAGGGGCAAGGGGACAATGGGATGAACAAAATGCCTCAATCCCCCGAAGAACACACCCCTCATTCACAGAGTGCAACCTGGAATCACAGGCTCCTTACCTAGAGTGTCCTTTCCCACTTGGTGAACTTCTACTCATCCTTCAAGACCCAGCTCAAGTGTTCCCTCTTCTACGGAGCCTTCCCTGAACCCCCAGTCAGTCACTTCCTCTGTGTTCCCAACAGCACCTTGTATATGGGAATAACAATAACAATAATCATAATAAATGGCAGCTACCATTGATTTCAATATCTATGTGCTGAGTACGATTCCGCTCACTGAATCTTCCCAATGACACTGTCAAACGTGCACTTAAAAGAAACTGCAGCTCAGAGAGGTCAACCAACTTGCCCAAAGTCACACAGCTAGTAAGTGTGGGAGTTAAGATACCACCCAGAGCTGGTCCTATCCTTCAGGGCCAATTACACTCTGGTAGGTTCTCCAGTTCCCTGATACTGTACCTGAATCTCCTCCCCCAATCAGACTGAGCTTTTCACAGCCAGGGCCGGTACTTGTTCACCTGTGCCAGCATCTAGCTCAAGGTGGTTACTTACAATGGGCTGGGAACCATGATGCAATATTGACAGCCAATTTTTCCTGTTACAGTAGATCCACTGTACAGATGAAGAAACAGAGGCCCAGAGAGGTTCAGTAACTTGCCTGAGGTTACAGAGCTGAGTCTGGATTTAAGAGCAGGTCACCCTGCCCCAAGAGGGAGGACTTTGAGGTCAGCCTAGCTAACTCCACATAAGAACAGAGAGGGGAGGCTGGGGGAGGGGCACACGTGTGCCAGTCCTGTCACCCGGAGTTGTACAGACTTAGATGGACAGAGCAGGTAGGCAGTACAGGATGGATAGTAGGAGCCTTGGACACTAGAGAAGGCAGGGATGGGCATTTGAGCAACTTATGAGCCCTCCCCAACCCATCCCAGCTCATCCCACACACAATCAAAAAAAAAGTGCTCAGGCCCCATGGCCCCATGGGAAGTTGCTCCCAACAAAGCAAATGGTAGAGAGCAAGGCCCGGAACTGTCCGACACTATGATTACCAGGAGGCAAAAATAAAACGTGCGTCAGAGAAAGCAAGCATCAAGAGCCACGCCCAAAGAGACCAGGGCACAGAGGAGGCAGCCCCACTGATTTAGGGTTTTGTCTTCGTTTCTGTGCTTTCCAAATTCTCAGTAATATAATTAAGTTTTGTAATAAAAACAATAAATTTATTCCTAAAACACAAAATGGCGAGCACCCCAAGGCAGAGGGAGCCTGCAGTGTCAGGGGAAGGTCAGGGGTGGCTGACGGCGGCACTCAAGTGACCGCTGCGTGCCAGGCCCTGCACAGCCCCGTCTCCCAAGGCTTGTGTGGCCAGTGGGGAGCGGGTGCAGAGAGGGACACCTGGAAGGGGCGACATGCAACTAGTACCTCGAACCTGGTTAGGTTCCCGCAGGCTGGGGAAGAGTCTCTGCCCCATGCCTGCTCTGCTCTAGGACCCCTCAGCTCTGGCTTCAGCTATTGCAGGAGCCTCCCCCAGGTTTCCCCACGTCCTCCCTCACCTTCCAACCCATTCTCCTACTACAGTCCCCTGTGATATGTCTACAGTCTATGTCAGATCATGCTGCCCTACTGAGTACCTTCCACAGCTCCTACTTCCCTCCAGATAAAGTCCGGATTCCACTCTGGCCCCTGCTGACCTCTGACCTCACATGTTGTTCCCCTTTACTTTCTGCCCAGTCACAGTCTCTCTATTCCCCAGCGTTCCTCAGGCTGCCTTGCTTCCTCAGCGTCAAGTAGGCAGTGTCCTCTCCCCAGTATCCTCCGCTGTTTCCATTTCACTAGTTAATGCCAACGTCTCCCTTCAGCCAGTTCATAGCCCGATTCCTCCTGGAAGCCTGGACTACTCCCTCTTCACCCTCCGCCCTATCCCACTGCACCCTGCATCTCTAGCATTGGAGTACTGCTCACGGCCTTTTCTGTTTTCTCATCCATCTCTACGGCTAGACATGGGCTCTGTCAGGACAGGACTAGGACTGAGTCGTTTACATTGTAAGTCCCCACAATACCCTAAGTACTTGACTGAATGAATGCTTAGGTGGAGAGAACTGTAAGTGACAGCCTGGGAGAAGAAAGCTTGCTCCCGATTCCCCTCCACCCTGGCACATGGATTCCCTGCACTCCATTCTTCCCGGTTCTCCATCTCCTACATCTGGCTCCCTCCTCCTGACTGATCTAGAAGGAGCTGTGTGTGCTCCGTACAGCCTAGAAGACCCGAAAACAATGTTAACAGCTAATAAACACAGCCAATGGTTCTGCTTCCCTGGCAGTGAAAATGACATAAACTTCCCCTGTCAAAAGACCAAAAAGAAACAAGAAAACAATAACATCCGATACTGGTTGAGGGTATGGGGAAATAATCTTACATATTATCAGTGGGAGTGTAAATTGGAACAAAATTATTTCTTAAAACAACTGGGCCGTGATGTGTCAAGAGCTCTAAAAATGTTCACTTCCTGGCCTAGCGATCCCATTCTTGGTCATCCATCCCTGGAAAATAACCCAGATAGACAAAGTTATACGCACAAAGCTGTTTGTTTCAGTGGATTTTTATGATAGCAAAAACCTGGAATAGACAAAATTTTAAGCAATAGGGAGCAGCTCTGTAAATCATGTTACTCTGTGAAAGTCTACAATTGTTAAGTGTAGCCAGTGCTACTGGCACTGCCCTGACTCATTTAACATCAGCATCAACCTATCAGCAACTGAGGCACAGAGATTAAGGAAATCACCCAAGTCACCCTGTGAGTATGAGACTCAAATACAGAGCACCGGCCTCTGGAGCCCAGGCTTTCTACATGGACAGTGAACTTATTAAAAAGAAGAATCAGAAAATACTGGCTCCCAGTGTCTACGGCCACGCGCCGGATCGCATCTGATCTCAGAAAATACTGCAGCCATTTAGGAAATGCTGAGTACAATAGTCTGGGGCAAGTGGAAGATTTAAAGTTAGCAATGACATCTTTATAGAAATGGGGTGCTGAGAGAAAAGAGGGTTAGAAAATACTCCAGTACTAATAGGGATGGCATTTTGGGCTTGGGGTAGGGCAGTGATGGGAAAGGAGTTTCATTTATTAAATTTCCCTACTTTATGACTTTCTAAAAATTAAAGCTTCAGCTAGGGTTGGCAAACCAAGACACCCCAGCCCCCGGCCATAGTCCCTCATAAGATTCCAGCCTGAAGCTTGCAAGTTTACCCAAGAGAGGGACTCTGGGAGAGGCAGGAACCTGCTGGAGTCTCACAGCAAGCCCAAGCCCGAGCCCTACCCACTACCCCAGCCAGGAAAGCAGTCTGGAAGGGACTCTCAACCCATCCCGTCCCATCCCATCCAGAGGCTCCAGCAAGGACAGATGAGCCCAGCCTGCCCAGGTTGCTCGTTTTCCCACTGAAAATCCTTCTGGGTCTCCCAGTGTTTGACAGGTACAGTACTAACTCCACAGCTGGACACCCAAGGCCTTTTCCAAAAAGATCCTGCTGGTCATATACATCCTGACACCTGGCCTCAAGCCTCACTACTCATGTGCCCTTCAAAACAAGCTGCTCACATGCCGTGCACAGATTCTGCGACGCACCTGGGGGCCGTACCTATCAGGCAGGTGTCACTGTCATGGGTGAATGATCTGGTTACTTGTCTCTGTAGTCCCCCCGCCCATGCCAGCTGTAAGCTCCACCAGGGCAGAGCCTGGGCTTAGGGGCGACTTGTTCCCTCGCTCGGCCCCACAGCTCAGAGGCTCTTCCTTCAGGTCTCAGCTTAGAGACCAGTTTCTCCCAGCAGGCACTGGGTCACCTGTTAACACAATCCCCTACCCTGCCTTTGTATCTTGGAAAATCCATGGCAAGAGGGTCTTCCCATTAGTTCCTGAAGACAAGTTTGCCAGAGGAACAGGAAGGCAAGGGTGCATTCACTGCAGAGAGGTGGTGTGTGCAAAGGCACAGAACATGCCCAAGAGGGAAAACAGGAGGAACTGCTTGTGCAAAGGTAAGCAAAGCAAAGCAAAGCATAGGGCCACAAAGCACAGGGCAGCGTATCTGCCCTGGAGTTAGTACAATGCAGGTAGGGATCTGTGGCGAAATGGGAGCTGCTGGCCAGAGCACTTCTTTCTGGGCCAAAGTTCCAGGCAATGGTGCCTACTGAAAGGCCATGGGAGCCATGGGAAGGCCCTGAGAATGGGAGGAAGTGATCAAGGTTTCCTAGTGGGGCCAGAGACATGACCTGGAGGGAACAAGGAGAACACCGTCTGAGACAGAAGTGAGCGTCCCATCTTTCTGACTTCCTTGATACTCCTACATGCTCAAAGCCCACCTCCCGTGGCCCTCTGCCCTCCATATGCCCCCACTCCATGCAGCCCAGAGCCCTCCTTAGCTGCTGTACCCCACCCCCAAGACCCTGGCCAGGCCAGCCTCAGAAACTCCTCCTCAGAACTTCCTGTGAGGAGCAAGGCTCCCAAGGGTCCTGGATCCAATTAGGCTGGTTTCTGCAGCCCTGGAGGGCTGGGAAGGGCTGTTTTCACTGGGACACAGAGCTGATCCAAGTGTGAGGTAGGCTAGTGTCTGCGCCTGGTTATGGGAGCTGGGATATAGCCCCCTCTCCTCCCTGCCCTCCCACTGCCCCATCCCTGCACCCTCAGGGACCCCCCCCCACTGTAGACACCTAGGGATACTTTGGCAGTAGGGCTTCTTGGGCATCCTCAGTGCCTTCATCTAGGGAATGGGCATTATTTTCTTAGTACTGAATTTTCTACAGGTTTTGAACCCTTGCCCCTACTTCCAGCTTCCCCAGGGACCCCTAACTCTCATCCCCATGAGATCTCCTGCCTTCATGGGATGGGGATGACAATGACCATTTCTGAGCACTTTTGACTCCAGTTTCTAACGCCTGTGAACCTTCTAAAACAGCACATACTCAGAAAGATAATAAGAATGTCCAGGCCCGGCTGGATGGATGGCACACATTCAGGACACTTGAGGGTCCTTGCCCCAGTCCCTTGCTCAATAACACCCCACCCAGGCCCCAGAGAGCAATCTCCCATGGCACACTAACAGGCCCAAGGCCATGCACAGGTGAGGACAATGGAAACCTCTGCAAGTCCTCTTCCTTCCTGAACCCTTCCCTCCTTTAGAAAAGTAAGGGGCTCAACTAAATCACAGCCTGGATCCC